ACAGAAAACCACCGCGTGGTGGCTGTAGAGCGCCGTAAGCCCACCGGCTCTCGGGAGAAAGCGCTGTTTGGAACACTGTCGGCGCCAGCTTTTAACCCCAATTTGGCCTCCCATTTAAAAGTTGGATGCAACTTCAGCTGAAACATGATATTTGACAAAAATCATTTTACTAACAACGCAAACTCGTTCTTACGAAACCACGAAAGTCAGCCGCAAGTTGGCGACAAGAAATGTTAACAGCTTCTCGGCTCCGAAGTACACCCAGACTCGGCGCGCTGCATCGACCTGTTTTTGCCCGGTCCAGTAGTTACTTGAGGCCCACCGGCAATGTATTTGTCGAGTTTTTGGCTTCTGGCTGAATTAAAAGGCAAGAAAATTTGTGTTTTTTGGGCGCGGGTGGCATGCGGTGACTGCAAATACGCGATGCCGAATGGGCAATTTCGTCCAAACCACCAGTTTGCGTTCTGAGCCGGGTCAAACAATGGCTGGCCGGAATACCAAGCACCATCGACTGCACAGGCTGATTGACTATGAGAAACACGGCCAGCGCAGGCGTGGCAGTGTGGCAAACAAGATGTCGCAAACACGCACTACCATACATCAGGCCTTTATTGGAGCAAAAAGAACGGCAGTGGGAATGTAACTAAAACGGTTAACACGTTTTTTGTGCTTTTCGCTGAAGCGCGACTGTTTGCACCTTTCACGAGATGTTAAGTACGGTTTCAAGCCCATCACAAGGACGCAAACAACAGGAGGACACACCTGTCAAGAGGGCACGTGTCTGCCCGGGAGGCACGTCACCTCCAGGACGTGTCTAATAAGGATGTGTCTAATAAGCAGGCAGACAACAGAGACATGCCAAACAAACGCACGCTGAGATGTGGAACATATCTGTCAGGACACCAGACAACAGGGACATGTCAAACAAGCAGACAACGGAACAACGGGACTTGTCAAACGGACACCACCGAACAGCGAGCGGCATCTGCCACGTCGGCTGTGGACCACAAACATAGCCTGATATCAGCCGCCTGACCACAGGAGCGTGCATTTTGGCATCACCGGGCTGGGGATAAGCCTGTCAGCACTATACACCATGAGAATGCTGGTCACGCTGCCTGCAGCGCATCGCACAGGGTCAGATCTGTCAGGGGGACACTGGACCGTGCTATGGGTGGGTGCACTATGTCTATAAACATGGATGAACCATTGAGGAGAGATGACGGTTGTTTGTCCATGAGATGCATCCATATTCCCAAACTTTTACAACGTAGCGTTAGGTTTGCGCAGTTGCATGGAAACAAACGGACCAGCGAAATGCATGCACACCCAAATGGTTTCAGCGAAGTTACGCTGATGGGACGAGTCTGCCACGGACACATCCTGACCACGTGACATGTCCATGCGACGGCAATGGACCACGGGGAACACGCGCGACATGACATGGTGTCCCATTGGGAACATGTACGACGTGGAACTGCATTCCACCGGGAGCACGTGCGACATGGAACTGCACTGGCAGTGGATCAGTACAACATACATACCCAAATGCGTGTGTACATGCCTGCCTGGCCCAAATGCGGGCATGCGTTAGCGGGCGATGCGAGAGCACTGGACCACCGGACCGCAGTGTCCGCCGGACGTCGGGACACAACGGCCGCTCGCCCGTAACGATCAGACTGCCCCCGCCCCCCTCCTCCATCGGCGACGGCAGCTGCCCGTTCGCAATACGTATGCATTAACCATACACCGTGGCTGCACCGATCGAACAAATTACTTTGCACGGCCGCCGCCAGAAACGGTGAATCGAACATCAATCTCCATAGGCCGGGCGAAGCGGGCCGGCACATGCCGGCCGTGGGCCGGATGGGTGGGCGGGTGCGCGCGCTGAACTTGCACTGCAACTGCAACTGCAACTGGCTGGCGGTGCCCTTGGAGCATATGCCCTAGCTGTGCAACATCTGCCCACGACAGTACCAGGCGCTGACGTCACCGATCATTACCGTGAACCAATAACAGGGAGGTATTTTTTGAAGCCGCCAAGTTCGACCAATCCCGGTTATTTGTTAACAGTCGTTTGATTGGTCGTTCAGAGGGCTTCGCTGCTGATGAGCATGGCGTGCCAGCCCGCGCCGCCCTGCCATTCGTCAGGAGGTGCAGACATATTCCCCCCATTGAAATTTCAGGAGGCCCCATCATGCCGACAAGAGGCCCCAAATCACCGAGACGAAACCATCAATCAAATCGAAAGGAAGATCCTTGAGGCATGCTGAGACTACATCTGACCCGTGAGAGGTCATAGACGGCTAGCGTTTGGTCCCGTTGGTCAGCGGGAGGTCTCAGACGCTACAGGGACGGATGAATAGCGGGTCTCGTGAGACAAAACACAGGAAGCCAGCCTGGTAAGTCCTCCAGTACAAAGACCAGGGGCACCACCAGGCACGGACAGGATTCACCCAAGTATATATGTAAGCCTAGAGGCCCTCTACGAAATCCCACGGGACTCTCTGGATAGAGGTTACGATAAGAGGCTCACACCTGTTCGGGAGACATCTAGATGTGCTTACTCCCTGAAAAAGTTGGTGGTGCCACCCCTGCTATCCCAGGAACGTCATTTGACCTTTCCCTTTTTTCCGCTCTCCCCCCCCCCCCCGTGCTACTCTCCATGATATCCTCTGCAGTTACCTCATCGGACTGCGCCTTGAACACCGCGCATGCCAGTGCACTGCTCACGTATTAGCGCGGGCTAACCACAAACGGCGCGACTCTGCGAACCGAGCGCCGAGCACACAGGCGCTGAAACCAGCGGGCTGTTGGCATATGGGTTTACGCTTCATCTTTTCGAAGCGCATTTGATCCATTTACACGGGCTTATCAAGGTAATGCAGGTCGGATGATTTCGCCTCAGGGCATACGCGTCGTCCTGAGCGAAGTGAGTCATTTGGAGTCATTGTAGTGTTTTTCGGAAGGCGCCCATTGACCCAACCGTTGCCAGTGACCAAGTAAGCCAGGTCTATGTCATGCGACGCTGTAGTGCCGGCCTTACGGGCCCGCGAATCGTTCAGTGTTAATGAATGTTAATGAATTGGGCGTAACAAACAACTTCTGTTTAGTTGACTATATAAGAAGTTGCAAAGAATTGTCTTAACTCTTGTAGCACATTTTTGTCCAAATTGTTTTTATTTACGCTATTATGGGGGAATTTCGCTCAGAGCAGAATGCCCATTGCAGTTTCAAAAGATAACTCGGAACAAGAGGGATAACTGGGGCAGCTGGAAACATGTGTGAGTTCCTGGGAGCGGGGGGGGGGGGGGAGCAGACGAAGACAGCTGAGAACAGCCAGGGCAGCTGACTGGAGAATACTGAACACATCAATGGAACTGTGGACAGCAGGACGCGGCTGCGTCTGGCTACGGGCAGCTGGAACATATGGGGAGTGCTTGAGGCACATATTTAGCCAGCTGGCCATACCTGGTGACAACTGAGCACATCTGGGCCCAGCCGGGTACCGGCTACAGTCCATGCGATAACAAAAAGCTGGGAGCTGCTAGGGGCAGCCGGGGACCACTCAGTACAGCTGACAGCGTTACGTCACTATTGGGGATAGCTACGGCCGGCTGGGGCGGCTGGGGCGGCTGGGGGTGCCCACAGCTGCAGCCCCGGCCCCTGTACGGGACCGGCCGCCGTGGAGAACGGGCTCCGCTCATCACCTTGTTCCCGGAACCGATCGCTGTCCGGGGCTCTTGAGCGCGCCGCTGCGGCAGCGCGAACAGCCCGCGGCCCCGGCGGGGATGGGGACGAGTCACGGATGCGCCGTCGGTCGCTGCCGATGGCCGGCCGACAAATTTATACAATATCGCCCCGCTATTGCAGCCCAGTTGGACGGGCGAATTTATCGATGCTGACGGCATCACGCGGACAGATACGTCAGCGGTCATCGAGACCGCGCCCAGGCACGCCCCTCCCCCCCCCCCCTCGAGGGGCGATGGCGACACGCGCCGCGCATGAACATCGCCCGCACGCGTCGCATTATTCAGGTGGGTCGCGCGCGACAGGTGCTCGCAGATGGATGGGGGTGTCGGGCCGTTTTGTCGTCATTACCAGAGCGGGCGGCTGCCGGCCAGGTCCTGCTGGGGGGGGGGGGGGGGGAGGGGGAGGGGGAGGGGGGCGGCGCGCAGATACACATCAACAGTCACACAAGGGAGCAGTGCGCAGCACGCGCATGCGCACGAGCGGCTGCATTCGTCACCCACTCAGCGGCCCCGCGTGGCAACACGACTCTGCGAGCGGTGACCTGACCGCGGAGGACGGTGACGTCATCAAGCGGCGCGCATTACACGTGCGCGCACACGTTACTGGGATACACCGGTGTAAACGGACTTCAAACGGCGTGATGATTGCAAGCATGCAGGCGGCAGCAACAGTCGTATTGCGGGCCTGCACTGACACCAAGTCGAGCATACACAACAGCGGCAGCGACCGCCTGAGCAGCATGGTACACAGCAGGCTTCGGCGATATGATCGCCAACACCGACAACAGCAGTCAAGCCTTATTTCGCAGCGGCAAACACGATCTGGGCGGCGCCTGTCGTCAACGGCATCGTACACACGGACCTCAAACACACACAAAAAACCAGCACACAAACGGGCATGTGAGAAGCGGCGACCGCATCAAAGCCCAACTGAAACAAAACAAGGGTCACACGAAGTAAGTGGCGGCCGGCGCATGCAGTCGAAAGCGACGGTAACGACAGACGTTACGACGAGGCGACGGGGCCGTGAGACGCATCCACGGCTTAACAACTAACCAGTGGCTTTTCTCATGCGACCACGATAGCACCAGCACCACCCGATGGCACTACTTCTACCGAACTAAGCGAAGGATGCACACCAACACCAGCCCACCACCGCCGCCACCGCCACCACGGCACAGAACCAGACAGCCACAAGCCGACCAGGACTGGACAGACACAACACGGAGAAAAGCTAGGAGTCCGTACCTTTTTGCCGTCTAGTTCGTGTGAGCCGCTCGCTAATACTTTGTCTACGCTAGCTGGATCGCTGTAGGTGACAAAGCCAAAGCCCCTAAAAAGGAGAACAGCGCGTATTGTTCTATGGCTCTAGTTCACCTCATTGCGTATCACCGGAGCACTATGGCCTAGAAAGTTAACAGCTAAGCAGAATATAACAGGCCTATTGTACCTATCCATAAGATTTACACGAGAGTTGACCGCAGCCCTTTGGCTCATGAACCTCTATTCACATAGTTCGCAGATATGCTATGTGCAAGCCAAGTACTGCATTGTTGAATCACGTCCTTGACATGTCATTAGTAATCACCACTTGCGAAGCAGATCTGCGAACATGCATTGTTTAACACGGTTCTATGACTTAGCTAGAAGCACTAGATTACACAAAACTGACTAGCCTAAATAAAACATTTTCAAACCCGAGCACCATTAATTCAATCCGAGATGAACACAGCGTTTTCGGACTTCCTGGGAAGTTTCTGCATCATCTTTGACTATCTCATTCGGTTGATATTTCAGAACACAGCCACAGATACTGAAAAGGACGTTACCTAAATGGTTAAGTGCGACTGGCGATTTGGAAACCACACCGGTAGGACGTTACCAAAATGGTTAAGTGCGACTGGTGATTTGAAAACCACAACGGACTGGCACAAATTATCTCTTGCGAGCAGGTTATTGTGGTACGTTATGTCCTCTGCCCAGGCTTTCTAAAGCTGCTCTGTTTGGCTCAAACCTCCGTCACATCCCACATACATCGAGTGCCCCGTTTGCAGCAGTAATTGGGACTACCCCTCCCCTTTCCGTGGGCGCGCCGTCGCCGTGCTCGGCAGTCTTGGAGCCTAGTGTCTTGGTCCCCCTCCATCGGCAGCCGGTACGTTGGACCTGCGCCCCGTGGGCTAGGCGGGCTCGGATTTCTCCCATCCCCGGCTCCGCGTCAAGCCCGCAACAGACCCACACGCGGACACGGCCGGTGCCAGCCGCGAGAGTCGCCTCTGGCCCGACCCGACCTGACGTTCTGACCTCTGACGCACACAGGTCAGAGCGGCGCGCTCAGCGTAGGACGCCGGGGTGCCGCGCTGCTGGAAGTCCCCAGCCCGTCCATCTAGAAAGCGGTTCTGGCGCGTGCTCTATGGCCTGAGAGTCGCGAATCAATGCGCTAAGGCTGGTTCTGCCAGAAATCTTCATGAGCGTCGCGCAGCTTGCGGGAGCTCGTTAAATTGGGCCCGCCCGGGAGCACGAGCGGCCCCGCGTCAAAGGCGTTCGCGTTCCCCGGCTCGATGGCGATGCCTGTCATTAACTTCAGCCCCGTTCGCCGAATGCCAGATCGATATGCCTCAAATACCGCCGAGCACTAAGATGTCGCTTCTACAAATTTGATGATGGTCTGAGTAACGTCCACCGTAACGAGAGGATACCGGCGTCAGTCCATTCTTCAACTAGTTTTAGCGGCTATCCGTGCTCGACCGGAAATGAGCTGCACCCAGCTCGCGACGCCTCTCCCATGAAATCGCCGGCCGCGGCGACAAGTTCCGTAACTGATACAACGCCGGGAAGCCGCACAGCAGGGCCCGTCGACGCCCCCCCCCCCCCCCCCCCGAGAGCGCCACAAAAGCCGCGTGTTACGCGAGTGGCCGGCTAAACTCCGCCGCAAAAACGACCCACCTGGCCTCACTGCGGCGGATGTCATGACAGGAAGTCGGCCGGGGAGAGGGGTCAGACAATGGTCGACGCGGCGCCGCGGGGCCGCCGACGGCACGGCCGAGGAGGCCCGCCGGCCGCCGGCGCGACGACGCGTGACCGACCCCTGCGTCATCCTGGGAGGGGTCGTGCACTCTGCGACGGCCAGGCGGGTCTGTGCACTCTGCGACAGACCCGGCGGGTCTGTGCACTCTGCGACGGGCCAGGCGGGCCTGACCCAGTTTGCGGCAGACCAGACGAAATACCAATTGGGCCCGTGAACTGCGATAGATCAGGGTGGCAGCGCACACGCCCGGCGCGGCAGCGACAGGTCACGCGAGGGGCGCCGTGTGTCGTAGATACGACAGGCCCGTATACGACGCGTTCCCAACGGACCTGCGTACGCGGACGGATCCGAACCCGGCGCGACCCGCCGCGTGGCGCACTACCGACCCGCCGCCGACATCGTCGTGCGTGAAACAAGCATCAACGCACGGCATCGCCTGTGCACACACTGCGCCACGGTTCGTGCTTCTTGCGGCGGTCGTGCGCGGCTAAGCACGCGCGACAACGCTGTACTGTGGACGCCGCGGTCGTGCAGGCACAGCCCGATGCCGCACTGCCAGATCCGACACCGGGGTCCGGATTACGGCTTCGGGTGCGGCCGCGGGCACGGCCCCCGCACCGGTCTCGGACGCAGTCCCGGACGTAGCGCCGGCCGCAGTCTCGAGCACGCCCCCACACCCAAGCGGCCGTGCACTGGCGCCACGGTGCCGCGCCCGGAGTCAACATGGGCCGTCGTATCTGGCGGTGCGGCGGTCGTATTGAGCGGCGCCCTCTCGCACGGCGCCCGGACCGCCGCGGCGCGTGCAGACCCCACCCGGCGGCGGGGAGGGGCGGGGGGTGACGTCACGGCGCAATGGAGCGTGTGGCCATGAATGGTCCGACGACGCCCAGCTGCCGGGCCACACGGCCGCGGGCGGTCCAGGCGGCGCCCTGCCGCGAGACGGGGCCGCACCGGCCGGGCACGACCGGCGCGAGTGCGGGACAGGACAGGACAGGACAGGGCAGGACAAGGACAGGACAGATCAGGACAGGACAGGGCAGGACAGACAGGACAGGACAGGACAGGACAGGACAGGACAGGACAGGACAGGGCAGGGCAGGGCAGGGCAGGGCAGGGCAGGGCAGGGCAGGGCAGGGCAGGGCAGGGCAGTAAAGGACAGGACAGGACAGAGCAGAGCAGAGCAGAGCAGGGCAGGGCAGGGCAGGGCAGGGCAGGGCAGGGCAGGGCAGGGCAGGGAGGCATGGCATGGCATGGCATGGCAGGACAGGGCAGGGAAGGGCATGGCATGGCATGGCATGGCAGGACAGGACAGGACAGGACAGCGAGGTCAGGGTCGCTGGCCTGGCCGCTCGCCGGGTTGCTGGACAAGTCTCACCCACTCCGAACAGCGGGTCTCACCCACTGCAAACAGCGGGAAGCGCATGACGAGACCTCGCCGAAAGCCAACGGCGGCCCTCCCCCTCCGTCCCCGTCTCCGTCTCCTCTGATCCCCGCCCATGCCGCCGGCTATGTTTAGCCGGCGGCGCGCGCGGCTGGTCACACCGGGTGGCGTCGCTTCCGGCGGCGGTGGGCCGCGCGTGCTGGCCGTAATGGACGTGCCGACCGCGCCGCCGCAGCGCCGGCGACCCGCGGCGGCCGCTCGCCGTCCGGCCCGGCCCCGTCATGGCTGTCCGGACAGACGGACGCGAGGAGTGCCCACTCAGCGACCGTCGCTTCCACTCGGATCTCTTGCGGAGAAACGGCGCGAAAGGTGTCAAGACGCCGCCAGTGTGCGAGTCGCAGGCCTGGAGGCCCCGACGTGACGACGACGCCGCTCCGCTCGCGCAAAGGCGTCCCGTCGCCATCCCGGCCACGGCCAGAACGCCAGGCTGAGGCCGCCAGCAAGAACTCGGCGGGCTGACGGTTGACAGCAGCAGCGCCAGCTCGTGCGGCCTCGGCACATCGGTGACCCAGGAGCCGGCGGCGGGCCTCTCGCTCGCCGTCGGGAGCGCACCTACAGCGGCCTCAGGCCGACACCGGAGCGGCTGCGACCCAGCCGGCCGCTGGGCGTCGGCCGCTGGAGAGCATCGCCCGCCAGGACCGCCCGCGGCCGCCGCCGCCCGCTCCGCTCACCGGTCGCAGCATTTCACGCGACATTGCCGGCGCCGCGCGGCGGCGGCACCACGCCGGCTATTGATTGACGGCGGCCGTTCAGCGCCCATTGTCGAACCGGACACCTCGGGATGGGGCCCGCGTGGCCGGCGCCGGCGTTCTCACAGCGGTCGATGGTGCGGCACGTGCCCGGCGGCGGCCCGGCGCGGTCGCGCAGGTGACTGTCCGCCGCTCCGTAATCGGCTGGGCAGCGGCAGCGCTGAGCGGCCCGCCGTCAGAGTCGCCGTCGTTAACGGCAGCGGGACGGCGGCGCCGCGTCGTTAACGACAGCAGGGCGGCGGCAGGGGCGCACACAGGAAGGTCGCAGGAAGGGCGTTGTCGGCTCCCCTCGTTGGTGGAGTGAGGAGGAGGCGCGCTCAGGATGGTCACCCAGTGGGTGTGGTGACTCCTCTCGGTGGTGTAGTGAGCAAGAGGCGCGCTCAGGATGGTCACCCAGTGGGTATGGTGACTCCTCTCGGTGGCGGATGGAAGTGAGGTGGTGGGCGCGTCACACCCACATCGGGTCCCGGGAGGAGGCATGTCAACGCCTCCCGAACGGCCGGCCCATCTTGCTCAGCGCTCCCTGGCGTCGTCTTTGTGCGCGTTCATCAGCGTTAATAGCAGGTGTCTCCCGAAATTGCAAACCCCCGCGAATACACCCGAAAAGCACGGATTCCAGCATTGGCCGATGACATATGAAGCAAACTTTAGATTACAGGACTTGATCTCGTTCGGCGGGCGCACCACCTTAATGATGATGGCAGTTTTACCGCTTACAGCGGACACCAGTCGCTGATTGCTCTCCGTAATTTGCATTCCGGTCCCACTTCCTGCAGCTGTCCAGCTGCTGTACAACGTGGCGTGTTATAAGTACGTATTTAGGAAGGGAACGCAAGGCCGATTAATGAAATCGTGACATCACCGGTGCCGCTGACTGCTTGGCACCGCCAAAATGCCACGTCATATTAGACCCGCGACCGACGGACAGCTGAGCGCGGACAGCACGAGCGAGTCCGCTGCGGATCGGACCGAGTGTTTGGACGCCGCGAATCGCCGAGTGTAGCCGCACCTTACCGGTGCGAATGGCTGTTTGGGTGGCGACAAAGCCCGGTCATCCATCAAGCCCGCCGCGGGGCCTCGGCCGGCCTGGACACGGGCGGGGGCGGGGGCGGGGGCGG